AGAGATTTCAATAACAATATAACAATTTTTTCAGTTTAGAAAGATCAACCTGCCGACAAGATTTTTTTACGAATGGTAAAAGATTTTGAATGCCCATCCTGAAAACATTTGAAAGTTGTTAGACGACTTCAGACTGCTGACAACAACCTGAAAAACTTTTTTTTAGTTACAACCTTAGCCATGAAAAAGTCATTTTTGGGAAATTTTAACCTAAAAATATCTTTCTGTCTATATTAATCTTTTTTGGCCGATAAGTAATGCGCTGGAACAAAAAGGATATTGGGTGTTCAAGTAGTAAACAATCGAGACAACAGCTTTAAATGACCAAATAAATCAATTTTAATCGACAACAACAACAGTAAAGACGCTGGAAACTAAAAGAATTTTCAGATCATTATTCAAAAAGAAAATTGCTTAAACACAGTTGTATTTCTAAATATGCGAACCAGATAACTTACTGGCAATATAGAACAATACAAACGTTTTGGACAAAATCAGCGACAGGAAGTTAACGATACCTCTTGAAAGGTGACCGACTAAGGTGTAAATTTGCGGACAATAGCGACAACAGTTCGGTTGGATAAGTCGGATAGTTTCGCGCAACCAATGGGCGCCTTTGGCGCTCTCCGCACTGCTTGAATTTCGGCAATCTGCCACGATGCGCATTTTGAATGTTGTTGCTGTAATTGTTAGCGCGTTTTCTGAACCTGCCGGTCGTTCAAATGGTTGTTACCGATTGGACGCAGATGCTTTTGATACTGACAACCAAAATTCACGGCTAGCACCAGCAACGTTGTTAAGACTGTTGGAAAATTGTCAAGCGTATCGATAGTTCTAGTTTAGGCGCTTTTTTCGTTCCGTTTCAGACTGCGATACATCAGTGCTTTTTGAAGACACGGGTTGCCATGAACGGTTAATAAGAAATCAGTGAGAAACAAAGACTTTTGCAGGATTTTTTTTTCACCGGTAAAAGATTGCTTCCAAAAGGATGGCGTTATAAATGGTTCTTTGGTGTACACTAAATTTATGGCGAAAAGAAAGTCTTTCTGTTGTCACCATATTAAACAGATAGCATTCAATTCATCTAACCTTATTTTTTACACTTTCCCATAAATGACCGCAGTATTTTTTAAATTTTTTTTTTTCAAAAATGTTATTATAAAGTGTATGCAACAGATTTTAAACGTCTTTAGAAAAGTTCTTTTAGCAGTATATTTTAGTCTCTCTATCTTAGCTACAAGAACTGATAAAGTTCTTTATCTTTTTCAGTTTAAAGTATTGTCATCAACGAGTAACCAGTACTGTTAGAACCTTATAATTAGTCGACGTTTCAGGAAACTACAAGGACACTCTTCACTTTAGAAAATGCCCTGTAAAAGTTTCAAAAAACCATACATAGCCAGTTAGCGTTCCTATTCGCTGCATATCACTAGTGGGATGGACAGTCAACTTATCTCCTGCATACTCCTCTACTACTGTCGTTGTATAAGATTTATTTAGGCAGAATTATGAGGCAAATTGATAAATCAATCATAATATTAAAGTTTCTTTGCTCTTTCTCACTCTTCTTCAGATATAAATGGAAGATTGATGGTAAAAATCTGAAAATTGGCTTTTCCTCCTTCATTAAATTATTAGGAAAGGAACTTTTCACTGCTCTTCTCCCGTATACATCACGTGATACGGTCTGCTAAATTTTTTAACAAAGTTCACCAATATTTGAAGGTGATAGATGCTTTTAACTGCTCACTGGTATTGCTTTTGAGATTAGCTTACAAATTACTTTTATTCCTTCTTTCTCTCATTCTTGCTGTGATACTTTTTAGAACCATCTATTCCATTCAAAAAACTACTTTTCTAACTGCCTTGCAAATGCAGATGTTTCTTAGTCATCAAAAACCCTCCTTTACTGTTGCGGCTACCGACAGAATCTCCAAACTGAGCAAATATTTGTTGTACCCTTCATCGATACGTCCCTATGGGAAACTTTTTTCTCTTCCTTTTATTTTCTTGTAAGATATAATTTAGCCGCTTATTATCTTACAAGATCGCGCGCATTCTAGAGGACTTTAGTTACTGT